GGCTGTACATCCATGGTGAATGGTGCCAGGGGCTGTATTTACATGGTGAGTGGTTCCATGGGCTGTATGTCTGTGGTGGGTGGTGCCAGGGGCTGTACATCCATGGTGAATGGTGCCAGGGGCTGTATTTACATGGTGAGTGGTTCTATGGGCTGTATGTCCGTGGTGGGTGGTGCCAGGGGCTGTACATCCATGGTGAATGGTGCCAGGGGCTGTATGTCCGTGGTGGGTGGCGCCTGGACATCCTTGGTGCCAGGGTGTGAGTGCATAGCACTCAGTGTTGGGGGCTGTACTCACACCCTCTCCCCAGAGCACAGTTTGCAGAGGGATGCAGGTGACCAGCACAACCTCCCATCAGGCAGGCCCTGGCAACCAGCAATCTGCCACGGAGCTGCCCAAGCCACTACTGTGGCTGCTGAAATCAATGCAGCACAAAGAGCTCATAAATCACAAAGCTGCTCCGAGGCTGAGGGTGCTCAGTTCCCAGGGAACGCTGTGATGCAATCCTGGCATGGGGGGCTGAGGAGCTCCCAGCCCCCTGAGGCGCCTCTGCAGAGGGATGAGGGGGTATCAGGGGTCGTGCATCACACAGGGCAATCTCCCCCCACCCCCAGCATCACCCACCCCTCTGCAGGGCAGCGAGAGGCCGTGGGCAGCCAAAGCCCCTCCGTGGCATCCCCTGAGCTGCTCCCTGGGGAGGGCTGGGGGCCCGGTGACGGCGGTGCTGGCCACCGAGCTGTCCTTTCAGCGCTGCTTCCCCAGCCCTCCGGTGAGAGCCCTTTGTGCCAGGCAGCCTGAGAGAGGCCTGGGACATAATGGCTGCTTTGGTCAGCCCCGCTGTTCCCAGCCTGAGCGCTGGGAGCCTCCGGCGTGAGCTGAATGGCAAAGAAGCCACCCCGCTCCTTCCCTCCCCCTCTGCCCTGTGCTTTGTGTGCTGTCCCCCCCTTTCCTCCCCCCACCCAGCAGCTCGCTGACCTCAACCCCCTCCACAAGCACTCCCTCTCGGGCACACACGTGCACGAGCGCACGCACACGCGTGTGCACACCCGCACGTGTGGGCTCCGTGACACGCGTGGAGCGCCACAAGCACCCCGTGTGTGCCCCTCTTGCTCGCTCACCTCCCTCGCTGCCTCTTTCCTGCTCGGCATTTGGGCTCACACCTTCCGTGCCGGCGGTGCCAGGCTGGGCTCTGCTGTCACCAGAGGACGCGGCTCCCTGGGAAGGCTGATGGGGCTGGATGGCACCCAGTGGCTCCCAGCCAGTAGTCCTGGGAACTCACGCTGTCTCCTTCCTCCTCTTCCCTCTCCTCTCCACTGTCCAAGGGTCCAGGTCCCGACCTCTCCCTCTGTGCCCCGACACCCCACCCCTGCACAGATGGGCTGGGGGGTCTCCCCGACCTCTCCCGCTCGTGCAGGGATGGGATATTTCTGATGCTTTTTTGGATTCTAAGCACAGCTGGTGGTTTTTGCTCCCCCCTCGCAGGGCAGAGCATGGCCCCAGCCCTCCCGCTGCTGCTGCTGCTCTGGGTGTTTGCCCCCTCGGTGGTCCCGCAGGTGTTTGGCCCCGGAGATGGCACAGGTAACTCGGCATCGCCGGCCGCATCTGCGTCACTCCCCGCCCCGTCCGTGCCCCGCAGTGGGGGCTTCAGGGGGGCCCCAACCTCGCTCTGCTCACTGCTCCTCTCTTCTCCCACCCAGAGGACCTCAAGGCTCTGCAAGTCTCCATCCCACGCCAGCCAGCCCTCGACCCCGTGCTGGCAGGCGACATCACCATCCCCTGCCTCATCACCTACCTTGGCCCCCAGCCCACTGCCGGCACGGGCGGCCGCCGGGCGGTGCTGGGAACCCCCCGGGTCAAGTGGACCTTCATCTCTGAGGGCAGGGAGGTGGAGATCCTGGTAGCTCGGGGGGACAGGGTGAAGGTGAGCGAGGACTATCGCCTGCGCGCCTCCCTGCCCATCTTCCACCAGCGCTACACCAACGCCTCCCTCCTGCTCACCGAGCTGCGGTCCAACGACTCGGGCATCTACCGCTGCGACGTGCAGCACGGCATCGAGGATGGCCACGACATCCTGCATGTCAAAGTCAAAGGTACTCCAAGGTGGGGAGAGGAGGGGTTTGGGGCGGGTTGGGCCCCTCTCCTGGCTCGGCAAACGCCCCCCCCTGTGCGGGTGGGGGTGCCACGAAGGCCCTGGCCCACGCCCTTGTGCTCCCCTAGGGGTGGTGTTTCACTACCGGGAGGGGTCCAGGCGCTACGCCTACACCTTTGCCGAGGCTCAGGAAGCCTGTGCCCGGATCGGTGCCAGCATTGCCACCCCCGAGCAGCTCTACGCCGCCTACCTGGGCGGCTACGAGCAGTGTGACGCCGGCTGGATCGCCGACCAGACCGTCAGGTGGGCACCGCAGCCTCCCGGGGGGCACTGCACCCCCTACATCCCCCCATCACCCCTCTGGGAATCACCAACCCGTCCCTGTGCTCTCCTGCCCCAGGTACCCCATCCAGACACCCCGCGAGGCCTGTTACGGAGACATGAATGGCTTTCCTGGGGTCAGGAACTACGGGGTGGTGGACCCAGAGGACATGTACGACGTGTACTGCTACGCTGAGGACCTCCCAGGTGCCTGCGGTGCCACCAGCCCCCTCTTGCCCTCCCCTGCTTTCGCTCCCGCACTAACTTGCCCCCGTAACCGGTTGTGAACCCGAGGAAAAAGCTGCCCTGAACTTCGGGCTCTGGCTCCAGGGTGTGGGGACTTGCTGTGCTGCTTCCCAAAGCACCCTGGTTCGGTTTGGCAGGACAGGGGGGCTCTCTCCCTCGCAGCAGGCACTGCCCAGGCTGGAGTGTGCCCATGGTGAGCTGCCCTGGTTTGGCAGCAGAGCGTGGGGAACGCTGCCGGGTGGTTTGGGGTTGGTTGTGCTCGTATCGTTCTTTGCATGTGCTGCTGATCCCACCGTGGGGGTGGCTGGTCCCTCCTTTGGGCCCTGATGGGGCTCCCCACTGGTGGCAGGGGCTGTTGTGGGGTCGGTGTGGGTGATGCCAGGCAGGGTGGCAGGGACAAGGGACAGGTTGCTTTGTGTGCAGGGCATGATGTGCTGGGACAAGGACATCGGCGTGGTCGTGGGGGCTGGCATGAGGTGCCTCAGTGTGAAGCCCCACCACAGCACCCACCGGGCTTGCAGGTCCCCTTGGGAGATGTCCTGCTCGTGGATTGTGCTGTGCAGGGTGCAGACCTGCTTCCCGTGGGGTCCCACTCGTGGTTCACGGATGCTTCCAAGTCTCAGCTCTGTTTGCAAGGGCAGGAATCCCACGTGGCTCGGGAGCTCCGGCCACGCCTACACTGTGGGTGCCACGTGCGTCTGCAGGGAAGCAGGAGGCAGGGATGCAGGCAGGGACGCAGGCAGGGACGCAGGCAGGCTCCTCCAGCCCCTGGTGTGCCTCCACACGCCGGAACCCCCACCTCCACGCCAACTCCTGGGGTTGTGCGGAGAGCGGAGGAGGCGAGGGGGCTCCCGCAGCCCCTGCCCTCCTCCCCAGCTCTGACGCCGCGTCTCCTTCCTCTCTTCGCAGGGGAGATCTTTTTGGAGACGGCCCCGGCCAGGTTCACGCTGGAGGAGGCTGCGGAGCGCTGCCGGGCGCTGGGCGCGGAGCTGGCGAGCCCGGGCCAGCTCTACGCGGCCTGGAACGCGGGGCTGGACGCCTGCAGCCCCGGCTGGCTGGCCGACGGCAGCGTCCGCTACCCCATCGTCACCCCCCGGGAGCGCTGCGGAGGAGCCCTGCCGGGCGTCAAAACCATCTTCCTCTTCCGCAATCAGACGGGATTCCCCGATGCCCAGAGCAGATACGATGCGTACTGCTTCCGAGGTAAAGAGGGGCACTACCCCCCTCCCCCCGACCCCGGTCCGCGGGTGCTCCTGGGCAGGGACCAGCGGGAGGCCCCGGGGAAGCCTCCGGTAGGGCTTTCAGGTGCCCGGCGGGGGCGAGGTGCCACCCCCAGGCCACCCGAGCGCGCTGCGTGCTGCGGAGACGGGCTTGTCCTGCAGGGCTGGGATGGCCTCAGGATCCCCGCGTGTTGTTTCTCTGGTGCCGCGCGCTGCGCTGTCGCGATAGGGCAGGCAGGGGTGTGTTGTGCCGTCCCGACTCACCGCGGTAGGATAGGGAGGTCTCGCGTGGTCTCCGTACTGCATGTCGCGACAGGGGAGGGATAACCTGCATGGTGCTGATACTGCATGCTGATAGCTCTGGCTAGAGGAGGGGTGCTCTGCATGGTCTGGGCAGTGCATGCTGATGTGTCACGACAGAGCAGGAATGCCCTGCACGTCCTCCGTATCGTGATGGAACAGGGATGTCCCGCGTGGCACCGTCGGTCTGTGTGAGCTCTGTGAGCACAGCTGCTGGCCTGGGGGGCCTGGGGGGGCACTGCTGGGTCGTGGGGGCTGTGGAACTCAGCCTGCCAGGCTGGTTTGGGGCGATACCTCCCACCGTGGGCAGGGAGGACACCCGTGGGCAGCGGCGCGGCGTTGCCTGGGCTGCCGTGGAGCCCTGCAGGTGATGAGCTGTAGGGACAGCGGGCATGGAGGGAGGAAGAGCTGCCCCTCCACTCGTCCTGCCTGGTCCCACCTCTCCGTGCATCCCCTCGGGGCTGTGAGGGCTCACCGGAGGGGGACGCTGCCCCCGGATCAGCTGGATACAGCACATCCCCGTGCCTCAGTGTCCCCACCTCTCAGCAGGGTCAGGCAGGCTGGCTTAGGCAGGATGGACCCGTCCCATGAATCCAAGCCCCCCATAACACACTAACTCCCCCTGCATGTCTGCTCTCCTCGGGGTGGGGATGGGGGTGTGGAGAAGGACCCTCCCCGAGAGGGGAATGCAGGGTTAAGGATCTGGCCCCCCTTACGTGCTGCCAAGCCCCACAGCTCCCACTGGAGCTGTT